ACCAGCAATATATGGAACAAGTTGTTTAGCATCCCAAGTTTCTTTCATATTTTCACAAACAATTTGAATACAGCTATATTAAAGACACATCTATCCATGCTCACAAACAACAAACCAATCCCTATACCATATCAATAATTTTTCGAGCCACTGTAAACCGTTAGCACAAGCAAATCGCTTTATCGAATCATTGTCGTAGTACAGAAAATTTATCCCTTCATTTGCATCAATTGCTGCACCGATCCATGCAATAACAAACTTATCCAAATCAAATTGACATAAATTTAAATGGGGATTAGAGCAATCAAAGTCTTTTTATAATTTAAAAGAAATGTTGACATCATCTCCACTTTTCTTGAATTTTCCAGATGATACACGACCAGTAGTTCTATCGACAGATGCTTCTCAAGTCGGTTTAGGTGGTGTACTTTATCAAGAGATTGATAATGAAAGAAAAATACTTTATTATCATTCTGAATTATTGAATTCAACTCAAAGAAGATATCTTCCTATCGAACTTGAAGCACTTGCAATTTATCGATGCTTCACTCGAATGAAATCTTTTTTACTTGGTCGAGATATTATTATTTATACTGATAACTGTCCAATTTGTCACATGATGGAAAAAAAAGATTTTGAATCGACGTGTTGAAAAGATATCAATTTTACTTCAAGAATTTAATATTAAAGAAATTATACATGTCAAAGGAAAATACAATTGTTTACCAGATTATCTTTCACGAAATACAATTGCTGTTGATGATGAATTAGCTCATCATGAATATGGTTTAAATTTTAAGAAAGATAATTCTTCTTCCATTCAATTACTTGGAGCAGTTGTTACTCGATCAAAATCTAAAGCAACAACACAACATATTACAACAAATTCATCTCCACCACAACATGATACATCAATAACACGTTTGAATGATTTTAATCGTTCGAATCTTAATGAAATTGTGTTTGATATTACGAAATTGAAGGAACACCAGTTGAATGATAAACAAATCCAAAAAGTTATCAATGAATTTTAAAAAATCCGAATATATCTTTCGATTATCAGGATGGAACTTTATACAAATTAATATCTGCTCCACATGGAAAAACAAAACGTAAATTATTTTATATTTCATCATCAATGATCAAATCACTCATTACTTCTTATCATGATAATCCTCTTATTGGTGGTCATTTTGCAGTTCGACGAATATTAGAAAAACTTAAACAACAGTACTGGTGGCCCGAAATGAAAGAATCAGTTATTGATCATATTAAATCTTGTATTCATTGTCAAGCTTACAATGTTACTCAACAAAAATCTCCTGGTTTTCTTCATCCAACTCCACCACCTGATGGTCCTAATCAACTGCTAGGAATGGATTTTTGTGGTCCATTTTCAATAACACCACAAGAAAATAGATATGTTTTATGTCTTACCGATTATTTCACAAAATTTATTGTTGCTGTTGCTTTACCTACTTGTTCTGCTGGTGTTACAGCTGAAGCTATTTTCAAGAATTATATTTGCCTTTTTGGAGTACCAAAAACAATTATTTCAGATCAAGGAACAAGTTTTAAAAACAATCTGATCCATTCATTATCGAAATTAATTGGTTACCATCACATATTTTGCACTCCTTATGGACCACAATCAAATGGAGCTGTCGAAAGGTTTAATGGAACATTCGTTACTCAACTTGCTAAATTAACAAATGAAGAAACAAACAATTGGGATGAATACCTTTATCCTATTATTTTTGCATACA